TATAACCTGTACCATAAACCCCGTTGCTGGATGATTATCCTTATACGATTACCTTGATAATTCTATACCAATAGAGCTTTCTTTGCATCTTTTATTGTATAATTTTGAGACAAGATAATGAGAAATAATTACATAATAATGAACCAGTATTGAATATAATTTTGTTTGTTTTGAAATATTCTTTTGAGTACTTGATTACGTAAAATTGATGCCAAACAGGTGCATGTCCTGTCCGATTAAGATACACTGTAAACTATCAAATTGTTTATCTATTCAAGACATTATTTACATGGTAAATGCAGTCTTTTTATGTTGTGTCAAAAAAGTTTCAAATTCCGTTTTACACAACGACTTTTTCCATACCATGAAGATATATTTTAATCAATATAAAAGTGTTGTCTTTCTCCGACTTTGTCAAAGACATAAAAGCAGCCATGACGTCAAATAGAATGGTGTCATATTTTTAGTAATTCATTACATTTGATGATACGGCTAGTGCTCCATTAATAATGGTGCAACATTAGTCAAATTACACTTTCACAATCAGGAGAATGTTGGAATCTAAGGACTAATTTATGGGTCAGAATGGGCCATCCATTATGCTGTTACTTATTTTTTTAAGTACAATTTCATCATTTCTTATAGGTTTTTTTATGCCCAAAGGTGTACAGTTTCAATATCGATATTTGTGTTGGAATAGTTTTGTTCCACGTGAACAAAACACCACGAAAATATATTGTCCTTACACACAGCTAATTCTCACCAAGAGACCTTTGTAACAATAAACTAGTGCTAAGCACAGTGGAGTTATGCCCCCTTTTCTTTGAACGTGTGTAAACCTCTCTGTCGCCTTTTGACGTCATAGAGGTAAATCAGTTTTCGTCATTTACGGCAGGCTTTTTTTTGCATTAAATTTTTGTTGTTATACATATGCATATAACTCCATTTGCTATATATTTATGTCGTTCAAATATTAGGCAGTATTTTGTCTTAGACCGAATCTTAGCTAAGCAAAATCTTAGAAACTTATGACAAAATTTGTGCTTAGCAAAATTTGAGCTAAGACCACTTTCATGATCCCTGGGCCAGGTCTGTCTAGTTCCCAGTCCACACAGACCCAATCACACTCATGGAATGCTCCACCCGCTCGTGTGCAAGCGTCCGTGAACACTGTTTTTTACCTGTCTGAGATCCCAAATAAGACGAGTGTTCATGCCTTCAACAAGAAACTTGGTCCACCATTGCAGATTCACGAGTAACTGGTCTATACTGCACTTGTCATGTGCTTCCCAGAGGGAAGACAGGCAGTTGAATTTAGGCTGGATGTGTAACTGCCCCAAGGAACAACAAGTGGTGCCAGCAAGGCGTTCCAATTGCCGTCTGGAAGCTCTAGGTTTGACATGAACTCCTGCACAAAATCCACCAAAGCTGTAACCTTTTAAGGGGCCAAGGTGAGAACACCATTCACCGAGTCAATGCCCAAGAAAGGTATTTTGGTGGCAGGCCCTTCAACCTTGCTCCAGTTTATTTGAAAGCCCAGTTGGCGTAAAAGCCTAATCAAGCACAAGAAGTTCACAAAATTCCGGAGAAATAGCTACAATCCCAAAGTCGTCTGAGTATGTCACGACTGCACACAGATTCAAACTTGCAAAATATCGGTTGATGGCTTGGGTAATGCGGTTAAATATGAAAGGACTCCGTCTGCCACCAAACGGTAAGCGTTTATCAATCATATATGTGGGTACGGCATCCCCTGTAAATGTCCAGTTAAGACCCATACATGCATAGTTCGCCACACTCCTATAAGCTGCTTTAAGGTCCATCTAAGCGCCTGGCAGTAGTTCTTTCAGCGCATCATGAATTGTCTGGTAAGAGAAGGACTCCTTAGTCACAAATTCATTGACTGACCCTCCTTTGGGTAAGCTAAAATCATGAATCAAACGGATGTCCGTGCTAAACTTTGGCATGGTACTAAGAGCACTCACAATGAGGGGCTTGTATAATACTTTCTCATGATGCCCCAATTTCAATTCTTCGCAAATCCTTTTCTCAACCTTTGGGCGGTTATCCGCTGTAAAACATAACATATGATTGTTTACTTCTGTGGATACAATTGAAAAGATTTCTTCCCTGTTGACAATATCAAAACCTTTGCATAACACGTTTAATATCCATTCACGCTCATTGTCTCCTTGTAACATTAAATCCCATGAATAGAGGTTTGCCGCAAGCTGAGACAAGGGGGAACTCTGGCACGGCCCTACTGAATAAAAGGTGTAGGTCCCATCGGCAGCGGCGGACGCTGTGGCATCCCCATAGTATCATGCTTACTGCCCTGACTAGTGTAGTTCCCAAAATGAGACTGCATCGCTGGTACTGAGGGATGCTCTATTAACTTGCAAAACATATGCTGCCAACTTGTGAGAAACAGCATGGTGTATACGGACAACTGCCCCTTGAGTTCCATTTAATGCATATTGGTATGTTTGAGTGCGGGTTGATTTTGGCCCTTTGGCGAGTTTGACTAAGCCGAGTGTACGTCCTGGCTGGGGTATTGCACTGAGCTTTGGCTGTTTTCTTTTCACAAGCAAGAGCTGCATGCCATAGGAATTGTCCGTGCCCCAAGGGAATTGCAGTTCACACTGTTTCTGTCTGTATTCCCTATCGTACTGTAGTACGCTCTGCCATGTAAATGACTGACCCAGAGTAGCAATCTTGATGCAATAGCCTATGTAATGCATGACTTGAGGCAGTTCTGTTTCATCTATCGATGCCATTTCTCTGTGTATCCTGAGGGATGCTTCGAAGTATTGCAAAGGGGATATTTTATCCAGGGCGTGTCTTTCGCTTTGTCCATTTTGGCACTTTTATCACACGCCGGTGATGGGAAACTGACGTAATCACAGATATTGCGGAATGTCCCGGAACCCCAGATCACAGAACCATGAGAATGCAAAAATGGATCGAAAGTAAACATTTCTGTACCTGGATTAGTGTCACGATCTTCCAGGGGAAATTCTAGCAAGTTAGCAATGTCCTCAGCAGATCAGCAGTCACTGGTGTGGCTTAAGAGGGATTATAAAGAGCTGGTTTCCTGTTCAGTATGGCAAACGGCAGCATATCATGGGAGTCACCATCTTTGTTGATGACGTCACTCAGAGAGCAAACCGGTTCGTCAGTTTTCGTTGTGTCAATTTCCCGCATTTCGGGAGTTAAATTCTTGACTCCCCTCTTCAGCTAAAGTGTTTGTGCCAATTGTTAACAATCAGAGAAGTGCGCATTGACCATATCCTCAGTAAGTAGTTGAGAAATGAGACGCAGTGTAGAATATCCCGTGGCGGACAGTTCCCCTATTGTAGCGAACGACAGCTCGTTTGCTTCAACCCACTTGGAAAATTCATTTTCCTCAAATTTCTTTCTTCAGTTTGGCCTTTCCGAGGTTTTCGGCATGGTGTCCTGTGAGACTTATTTAAATAGTCATTGATATTGAGTAAAGAAAAAAAATAATGAAACCCAATTTCTTAGGCAAAGCTGAAGGCTGCGTGGCCGCCTGAAAGTGCAACATATGTAACATATACCGTTAATCCAGTTTCTGCTTTCACCAAATACATTCAAAATAAAAATAGTCATAAGAGTAGCAAAAATAATCATAAGAGTATCACTTTACTATGTTACAGATTATTTTTTAAATATGAAACTGTGTGGCAAAAATTAAGCCTCTTACTGAGAACAACAATCGGTGATTGTGACATGAATGCTTTCCATGGTCTTGCCATTTGTTCCGTGAAAACAAATTATTGGCATAAAAAGGTCAAACAATAAATAGGACTTTTACGAACCAAACTGTGGCGTTTATGATATATGTATACATTTTCTGGTAACTTAGGTTTGTTTCAAGGTGTCAGCGGTAATCTGATCATGGCTGTTGTATTAATTATTCTATTTAAATAATAGTGAATAAATCCAATTATAAACACACAATGAACACTTTTGACAACCAGATAGTCAAATAACAGGACCAAGTTGCTACCGGTACGTGCTGTTTGGGATTTCCGTTTCACCTAATGCAAGTGAAGCTGACAGTGCAGTGCAGTGCAGTGCAGAGCTGTCAATAACTAACATGATGGTGTTTCTATAAAACAAATGAAAGCTTTGATTTTTATGATTTTTGTTTAATTCGTTCAATTAGTTTTTCACTGTGACTTACCTGTAACTTGAAGGTTTTATCAGGTTCTCAATAACTAAAGAAGTCCTTGTACTGAGATGAAATTTGGTACATATCATCCTTAGGGTAGGCATTGGGGTGGTAAGGCTTTTGAGCAAACTTGATTAAAGTTCAAGGTCACTGGAATGATAACTTTAGTTTTTCTTCCAGGTGTACTGAACTAACACATGTTTCTGTATGTCATGTTTATAAGAAGAAATAATCAGCATGTGATTGGCGGAATTTGAGGGCCAAGGTTGTCAGACCAAGTCAATAAAACTTACTTATTAAATATTATAAGGTAGCTAGAGGAATGGTACTTTCTGGTTTTTATTTATCTTGAATTAGGCACATGTAAAAAATGTTCCCAAGCTGGAAGTGATGTCATTAAAGTGAAAGTGCGCATAACTTATTAAAGTAGTTAGAGACCTGGGACTTTCTGTTTTAAAGGTGCACTTCATATGGCATGTTTTTTCTCCAACTGGACGTGATATCATTAATAAGTACATAGCTTCCTTATGAAAGTAGCTGAAGGTAATGGATATTCTGTTTCAATGTTGTACTGCATTAGGTGTTTTGTGTTTCCAAAAAGGACATGATGCAATCAAAGTGATTTGTTCAAGTCAGAATTATTCATGATATATGTTTCTGGTTGGAAGGTTTGGGGGCATTAAGAAATGACAGGGATGCTTCTTTTTTATCATGTAATGCAAACATGTATGTAGTTCACTTGGCAGTTATGATTACAATATTTGATGATCAATGTCTCACTTGAGTTAGTTTTTTTTTTTTTTAGAATTTGAGTCCTGTGTTGACCAAGATGACAAAAGAGGTGGATAACCGTGAGAAGGAGCTTACTCATCAGGTTCATCGGGATATGCTTGTGCGATCCCTGGAACAGGTTAAGAACTACACCCCAGTTCTTATAAGTGGTGTGAAGATCTTCATTACAGCAAAACAAACAAGTGAGTGCATCAGTAGCAAGTTTGTGTGGTGTTAATGTATCAGCAGATGTGGCCAAATTTGGACCTCAATTAGCTTATATTGACACAAGATCAGAGAATTTACTGAAGGATGCTACTTTTTTGTCGTCTGTTGTAAACATCTTCTCCAAAACCAGTGCACTAATGAAGCTAAAACTTAACATGATTGTTCCCTCCAATGATGACACTTCATTTGAATGAAAAATAATCAACATGATCAATAAAATTTGACAATGGGACCCACATCAACAGAGCATAAAGGAAAATGTCAGGGAGAGAAAGTGCTGTATTTTTTTTGCTGGTGTCAATATGGGGATATTTCTCATATGAGGTTGATTGATAAATTATAAGAACACATAGAATGAATTGCATAAAAGTGAAATCTTTGGTTGTGGACATCACATGATGTCATACTAGAGGTATGTCCACAAAAACCTTTGTCATTTGAGCAAATTGTTTTGCTGTGACTAGTCAGTTAAATAAGCAGGGATCTGTGACCTTTAGAAAATGGACAAATTTAAAGAATGTGCAGTGATCAAATATTTGTAGAAAAATGGCATAACATGAAAAGCCATCTATGAAAATATGAGTACAAGTAGGGAGGTATGCCCTTTCATATGCCCTTCCTATTCCACTGTAAGGAGGTGGGCAGCAGAGTTTACAGGTAGCAGGGACAGCCTTGAAAACCACACAGGGTAAGAACTTACCAATGAACCCTCATATCATGGACATAAAATTCACTCAGACACCACCTTCACTTGCTCAGGCACGAAACAGGTCTCAGAACTATTGAAGTCTGTCCTTACACAGCCTGCACACTGCAAACAAAATCCATATATACAAGCTTGTATATCCTTTGGAAAGATGATATTTCCAAAGGATATACAAGATTGGAAAGATGATATATACAAAAATATACAAGTTTGTATATATGACATATACAAAATATACAAATTTGTATATATGGTGTATCCAAATTTGTTTTGTTTGTATATATTGGTAAAGGGAGATAATTATTATGTATTTGTGTATAATTATTATATATGTGCAAATTGAAGTGTTTTAAGTTGAGCACTGTGTTTCTTTGTATATGTTGGTAAAGGAGGATAATTGCTATGTATTGCTCTATAAATGTTTTGTATGTGCAAAATAGTATCAGCAAGTTACAAAAAACTGATTTAGTGGCGGGTAACATTACTGGAAGATTTAATTAGTACTCCACACTGTTAGCGGGAGTACATACTGTCCTTGCAATGATATTGACGGGTGGGCGGTTGAGGCGTCTGGTACTTTTCCTGGCGCGGTGCTTGGTATGTGAGTAGACTTTATGGTCAAATGCACAGAGAGGATTAGCTGTCGGGGGCGATTGCTTTGGCGGTAACTTCTGTATTGAAAGTGTTTGAGCTTGGATTTGTTTTACGGGGAGGCCGCGATGTGTTTTGTAACATGCTCTCGTGCACATATGCCAACAGAGTGGATTGCACAGAGGATGAAAACTATTTTATCACTACTTAAAAGTGTTGAATTTGGTTTGTTCTGAGCTGTCGGTTTCATTGTAGATATACATTGTTATAATGTGAAATCTCGGCAGAAACGCGGAAAATCGCGTTTTGTAAAACGGTAGTCCTTGGGGAAAATTGTATTATGAGCAACCGGATGCGTAAATAACGTGTGTAATATATTCCCGTATTATATTTTATAATACTTGTTCTTTTAATATTGTTATCAATGCGAGAACGAAGATTACCTTGAAAAAACACAACAGCATGCATATGTTCTAGCAAAAGGAAACTTGATATATATTCATTTGGCTTAATTTCTACTTTGGAAAACTTAGTTGGCGCTCTAAAAGCTTGACGCTGTATAATTTGGCACGCGCATGGTTGGGTGCAAACCATATGTACATCAATAATAATAATAAAAATAATAATAATAATAATAATAATGATACATCATGATGGCAGTTTCAATGTAAAGATTAAGTATTTTTAAAGATATGGAAAATAAATCTTGATAACTGCTTTAATCTTTGATCTTTGGGAAAATAATAATGGAATTGGTTGAGTGACTAACGTATTCTACTTTTTAAAGTGACAGGAACGTGATTTACATAATTAAAATATGGAATAATATACAAATTATAAGAGAGGGTTTGTGATTTATTTTGGGATGAAGTCAGTATTTAACTTACGCTTTCCGACATTATGCGTATTTCGCACACGGTTAAGAAAAAAAATGCAATTCATTTATTTAAAAAAAGTACGAATGCATGAATCCTACATCACAGGACCATGTACATAATTTGTTGAATGTTATTTCGTGAATACACAAATTGCATAACACATTCCCTGAGGACAAACCCAAATTGCCCGTCCCTTTGTGACAGGTGTTAATTAGAGAATGTATTGCCACCATATTATGTCCCGGCACTTTTATGACATGTAATGAACCTAGTCAATCCTTGGGTCTGTAACAACAACATGGGTCTAATAAAATCAAAGTAACATAAATGTTACGTAATTCGAATTAAAAAAAGAGACTGAAAAAATGTAACATGAATATAATTGCCCTTTTGAGGGTAATATAATTTTGGGAAAATATACGTTTTCTTGTATTTATGGACGACTTCACACAAGCTGAAAAATTAAACATATGTTTATATAGCTATATTTACATACATGGCATTAACATGTAATAATAATATTGATCATGTTTGTTAATTTGTACATTTCGTTGTTATCCTGAGTATGTTGTAATAATGCATGTGTTCTGATCTTATTTGACGTAGATTACATGAACTAGTAGAGTGACTTTCTTTCATCAGCGTGGAAGGATTACCCACACATATACCCTTAATCCTTTGTCAAACAGAAAGAAGTCATATAGATATCATATCTAACTGGTACTAAAAGTTCACTATCAATCTCCTCTGATAACGCACTTTTAATATCCCCAAGCTACAATACCAAGCATGCTCATGGAGTAATTATGAGAAACCCGAATGATATCCTGTCTACGTGGTCACACCCGGTGATTGTTAAGACATTCAGACAATATGGCAGTCTGTATTCATTTCTTATATCCCAAAAGTCCCCACCAAGCTTCCTTTTATTTACATTGGGATGAGGGGAGATATACATATTGTATTAAATAATACATCAATACATCAAAACAGAACAAAAAAGATAGGTCAATAGTGCGGTTGATGGAAAGGGGTTTCCTAAGAAAAGCTATTTAACTGTTTAATACTTAATACGTGTCTCAAAGTATGTATTAAGTCTTACTACTAGTTATTATATATGTGCAAATCCACCCGAACGTCGGATGTACATGGCCGATTTCAAAATAGCTAAATTAGGCACTGTTCAAATTGTTTCCAATAAACCACTGATTAGGACCTCACTTAACCTTTAGAATAGAATCGTTTCTAAATATATTGTAGTTGGGACATGTGTAAAAATTAATGCAGTGTACCATTGTGACAGCCACAAGAGCATGCATGATGTGTTATCTGAGATGTGTTTTTTAAGCCGATGGAAGTTTAAAGTGACAAAATCTGGTATCATGGCTTAACTGAATATAACATTGTCTAAGTTTAATAATCCTCTTTTTCTGGTGACTATTCCAATTATTAATGGTATCAGGTAGGAATGACTTGGCTGCATTCAGTTCTACAACGTATAGCCTGTGAATTGGTTAGATTTCTTTATATGTAATCACTAACAGCAAAGATGTTTTCCATCTTGTAAAAAGGTGTTATGGCTACGTTGGTCTCACTCTACATTTTCTCTTGGCTTGTACCTCTTATTGCCTGACAAATAGTCCGTAATCAGTGAGTGGGCGAGGTAAAAATTAACGTCTCATCGGCATTATTTCAGCGTCCGTAATGAATTTATGTGTAGACATTCTAGGATTAATTCTTGTTCTTTGGTACAATTATCGAAAACATGGGAGCAAAATATTGGCAATATATATATGCTTGTTCATGACTTATGTAAAAGGGGTTATTTATCTGAGTGAGTGAGTATGGTTCACGGCGGTGGACACCAGAAAGGTATGTAAGACAATTAATCATAGGGCTTACCTCGTTAACTCGCCAATATCAGAATCTGACTGAAATATTAATACCAAAGTCCTTTCATTTTAAGATTAGGTTTTGCACATGGGCACACTTTGACGTGATATTGAACAGTTTTCTTTTTCCCTGGATTAAGTTTTACTTGCATTCATTCATTTGGTAATTTTCTCCAAATTGGCATTAATATTTTACGCAGTAGTATTTGGAACTGTTCATTTTGGGAATAGGGTGGACCCCACCGCAAGCACAGTAAACAGAAATTCCAAGGTGAATAATATGTACTATAGTTTGTTGGCTCGACATGCAAGACTCCATAATTTTAGTTATAAATTCATAGTAATGTTAAATTAATTTTTTTTATAAATAATTCATTGATGTATTTGACATGAGACGTAGCGACACTCATGTATTTTATAATAATGTACAATTTCAATGCCTTAAATCTGTTGTATTAAACAAATTCTTTGATTTGATGTTGTCATATTGTGACTCAATTTGTGTCTAGTCTTCCAAATGTTCTATTGCGAATACATATGGTGTCAGCGCCCATGATCGCCATATCTATGAATGAATGAAAATATCATCATTAATAAACTTACCTGAGCTCAATATGTGTTCTGAAGACAAATCGCTGTAAAGCATCTTGCACGGCTTCGTTCACGTTCACCCTCAAATATACGAAAGGAAAATCTGCGACTGTGCGTGTTCAATGTTCGTTTGCACTTTTGCGACAGGCGGTCGTTTATTTATTAAGATTCCACAAATTCATAAATTACAACTGATGTAGCTGCCTTGGTTAACTGGAGTCAGGATATAACTAATTACAAACTCTGTTCTAATTATGCTAATCGAGGAAGTGCATTATACTGGATGACAAACTTAGTAATCCTTTCACACTAATCTT